AACTCTGCCCCCAGGGGAGGGAGGGAACCCAGGCCTGACACCAAGCAGAGGTCTCCCTCTGCTGGGAGAGGCTGGACACGACCCAAAGCAGTCAGAAAAGCCAAAGTTCAGCTGTTGATCAATGAAAAAGCTTCCCACCTCACTCGGTGCCTTCCAAAACCAAGGCTGGACCAAAACCCTCCTCAAGGTAAGGCTGGAATTCAGTAGCAAGAGCAGTAGCCCATTCTGCAGGGCATGTCGGAGCACAAGCACGCTCACCAGATTACAAGACCAGAGCACAGAGGGGAGCTGCAGAAGAAACCTGTTCATCTTCTAGGAAAAAAGCCCCTAGACTGGAGATGAATGCCTTCACCAGGCCCATCAGCTGATCAGACACAGATAAGGAAAGAAAGAGTCACCCTGAAGATAAACCAATAGAAATTAGCAAATTGATGGGGGTAAGGTGGAAAGAGAGAGCAGAGTGAAATAAAAATAACACAGTATGTAAAAGTTGGTGGTGATTACGTTAAATAATGTAGCACGTGCTAACCAATGTCTCAGAAACAGAAGAGAGAAGGTGGCAGGAAAAAATTTGAAGAGATAATAAGTGAAGATTTCTTGAACTCTTGTGGCCTGGGAAAGCAGTCGAGGACAGCACAAAGCCTTGGGACCCTGCATCCGTGAGAGAGACCCAGAGGAAACTCCTGGCTCCTGGCTTTGCACCAGGTCAGCTCTGGCCGTTATGGCTACTTGGACAGAAGATCTTCCTATCTGTCTCTCCTTCTCCCTGTAAATCTGACTTTTCAATAAAGAAAAATATTAAATCTTAAAAAAAAAAAAGAATGCAGGATATCAAACCATGGAGTCAAGAACTCCAAGCAGATTAAATGCTAGACATATCAGGCACATGGCTGAAAATCAGACAAAATCCTGAAGACAACCAGAGAAAAAACATACTTTACAGGCAAAAGAATGAGGGGGAAAATCAAAGCAGATCTCCTACGAAAACAATTCAAAGCCAGAGTACCGAGTGATATCCGAGTCTCAGAAGGGTGGAGAGCAGGAAAAGCCCAGACACAGATAAAGTAAAAACAGCTTTAAAACTGAAGGCTAATACTTTTCAGATCAGAAACAAAGCTAACATGAATTACCGCTAGCAGAGCTGAGTTACAAGGGACATTACACAAAGTTCTTCAGGCAGAAGCAATGATTCCCACGGCCACAGGGGAGTCTAAGAAAACAGCTACTTTGGAAAAGTCTGACAGCTTTTTTGAGGAAAATTACAAATATTGTTATTTTATGACCAAACAATTTCATTTCTAGGCATTCTCCTTAAGGGAAACACACAGATATTACCATGAAAAAAACCCCTACAGACACGTGCTTATAGTAGCTTCCCTACTCATGAACACCACGATGCAGAAATATGCCAAATATCTATGCCCCTCGAGTGAACATCATGTCGACCACAACGTAACAGTAAGTAAGAACACAGTGCGGGCACAGGGAACAAGAGGAATGCATCTCCAAGCAGTATGTTCACAGAAGCCAGCCAGGGCAACTAGAGTACCCTGCTCCGTCGGAGGAAGTGGGGCTGGGGCTGGAGAATGCACACAGGATCCCGACAGCCTTGGGGGCGATGGGCGTGCTCTGTAGTTTCACCACGGACGGCTACAAGACTGTAAGTCTGTCAAGATCACAGAACTACCAGCAAATGCCTGAAGAGAGTAAATCTTACTTGATATCCATCACTTTTCAATCTAATTAAAAACATCCACACCAAGACAATTTTCACAATCTTCCGTCAAATTTTGGATGTAAATATACAACTGTTCTCCCCACCAAAAAAACTGCACTAAATATACTAAATAAAATGCCTTTTTTTTGTCACCTAATTATTTTTGAAGCCCAAGCACACTGTGGTATTTTACAGCACATTAGGGAAAGTCACAGAAGCACATTACCTAAGCACACGTGCTGAAGAAAACTTAACCCACTGTACTTAGCAATTATTTCTGATGTACGATGAAGTGCTAACCATAGGAGTGACAACAGAAGAAAAGATGAAATTCAGTTTTATAAATATCTTGTTATACCAATTATTTTTATGTCTTTATTACTGTAACGGCGTAGTTAGACCAACCACTCAGGTATCATTTTCTGCTTCTACTTTTTAATACTGTCATGTTTAGTTGATCTCTCAATGCTTATTTCATCATGATCACTGCTGTACTTTCTAAAAGACCATACTGCAGGTTTCTCACATTCCACTGCCTTTCTCCCTCTGGCCATGAGCTTTGAGTGGAACAGTGTAGGTGCCACGTGAGATACAGTGCTGGCTTGAGCTCTAGCCTTGCTGTAGATTCCACTTTCCTCCCCGTCCCATCTTTTTTTTTGTTAAGATATATTTGTTTGTATTGGAAAGACAGGTTTACACAGAGAAGGAGATAAACAGAGAAAGATTTTCCATCTGCTGATTCTCTAACTGGTTGCAAGGGTCAGGGCTGAACCAATCTGCAGCCAGCAGACCCTTCCGGATCTCTCACGTGGACTCAGGGTCCCAAGGCTTTGGGTCATCCTCCTCAACTGCTTTCCCAGGCCACAAGCCAGGAGCTGGATGGGAAGTGGAGCAGCGGGGAAACGAACTGCTGCTCATATGGGATTCCGGGAGTGTAAGGCGAGGAGTCAGCCTCTAGGCTACCATGCCAAGCCCCCTGCTGCCTTCTCCTGAGCATCCCGGTAGACAGCAGGTGAGAGCTTAAGTACTCTGATCCCTTGCTGCCTGTGTGTAAAGGTCAGACGAGTTCCTGGCTCTGGAGCCAGCCTGGCCCAAGCCCAGCCCCAGCTGTTGTGGGGGTAAACTAGCAGAGAGATTTCTGTCTCTCTGCCTTACAAATACAAATTAGTTTCTTAAAAAGACAGATATGTATCCATGCTGCAAGGTGCGGCTATGGCCTATTTACGCTGCAGAGTGGCCCATTATTGTAAAAATAAGCACAAAAGTATCACAGTACCTCCTGTTGATCCAACCCTCTTTTCCATTCATAACTACAGTAGAATTTCAGAAATATTCCATGGAAAATTTAAAATACTAAAATATTTAACTGTTTAAAAGAAAGACAATTTGCTAAGTTTCCTTCAAATTGTCCTTAATTCTTACTCTATTTTTTTTAGCTTTTATTCTATTTGTATTTGAAAGACAGAGATAAAAAGGAGAGGCAGAGATCCTCCCTCAGCTGGTTCACCCCCACAGTCACAACAGTTGGAGCTGAGCTGATCCAAAGCCAGGAGTCCCAGGTTTCTCCAAGCCTCCCATTTGGGCACAGAAGCCCAAGGACCTATGCAATCATCCACTATTCCCCCATGCCAGAAGCAGGGAGCTGAACAGGAAATGGGAGTAGCCAGGACACAAGCCGGCACCCATGTGGGATGCCAGTGCAGCAGGTGGAGGCTTAGCTTACCAGCCTACAGCACCAGCCCCGTTACCTCTTGGACCATTATATAATTTAAATCTAAATGTAATTGATATTAAACTATAATATATAACATATTATATAACATTGTATATATTAATAATGATAATATGTAATTATGTTATATATATACTATTATATAATTTAAATTTAAGTACCAATTAGGCCTCTTGGGCCATACTTTGGAAAGGCTCAATAAAGGTAGATACAAAACATGCAGAAAAGACAATGGGAAAGAAAGAGAGTTTCGCGCTGGATCAAGCCTTGCACAGCAGGTTAGGTCCCACCACTTGAGACACACTTGGTATCTGAGTGATGGTTAAGTCCAAGCTACAACATCACTTCTGATTCGGCTTCCTGCTGATACGCCCGGGAGGCAGCACATGTGGCTCAAGTGCCTGAGTCTCCACTACCCCAGTGAGAAACCCAGAGTTCCAGGCTCCTAACTTGGGCCTCGCCCAACCTTTTCTTACTGGGAAAGAAATCAAAGAACAGACGATCTCCCTGCCTTTCCCCCTCTCCCTCACTCGCTTTGCCTTTCAAATTAATCTTTTAAAGAAAATGCTTCATAAAAGCCAAATGGATTTCAGCCCTCAGATTTCTTTGCAATGAAAATCTTACCACGCATCAGGAAAAATCTATTAGCAGTTGCTCAAATAATTGAAATGCTTTTTCCCCCCCCATATCAGAATACTGGCTAAATGAATATTTATTTTCTTGATATATTTTAAGTTTCATTATCATTATAAGCATAATCCACTAGGCTGGAAAAATTTTTACTTGCTCCATAATGTACAAACACCAAAACAGCTGCTGCATTGGGTTTTCTTTTTTTTTTTTTAATGTAAAGGCATTTTTAAATGTTTCTTACATAGGTGAGAAGACTGCAGCCGCATGCGGGTCTCTGGATGGGAAAAAAATGGGTTGCAGGGAGATGGGTGAAGAAAAAAGACCCCCAACTCACCCCAGTGCTGCAGGGCAAGGCAGCTGCTACACCATTCCCTGTTGCCAGTCCCCATCAGTGCCAGGGGTCAGAGGCGGCCCCTGCTCTCATCCCGAGGCTGTTACTGAAGCAGTCTCAATTGTTCTAACATGGTGTTGGCTTCCTTGGGTCAGGGCTAAGATATCACTTCCCATCCTATGTCTGCTTTGATCTGCCCATAAGCCTAGATGCTCGGTGGAGGGTCTGGCTTATATTTTTTCAAACTAGAGAATTAAAGTTCATGAAAAATCTTCTGAAATTTTGAAACTGTTACTCTTTCAATTTAAGAATTTTCAAAGCTGCATTAATTGTAAGTTCCAGCTAGGACGAAATTTGAGTGCTCTGAATACTGTCTCACGTTTGCATGTCACATGGCGTTGAATACAGGAATACGGTGCATCTTATGTATATTACTAATGTCTTTGTTCTTACACATCTAAATCCCAAGCCACAGATGCCAAAATATAAAACACTAGAATGACTCCAAGTGAATATGACATGAACATTTAAACTTTCTGCATTTATGAAGCACAGTTTATTTACATTCAATAGAAAAGTGTACTCACCTGACGTTCCAAATGTTACATCCCAGGGGGAGCTAATAGGCTGCTGCTCCCCTTTTGCGCCCCCTTCTCTATCTGTTCCTTGAATTCCAATGCCAGCTACAGTGCTCACCTTCTCAGCTTCTAGGTCAATCTATGGGAATGTAAAGGAACTTTTATGCAATGCATGTTACTTTGCTTTTTCTTTTTAGTATGTGAGGACTTCCAATAGAACATATAAAGGATCTATAACACAGTGCTTTAAAATGGCTAACTACAGGGTGACAAAACAAAACACTATGTATGATATTGTCCTATTTGCTTAAAGAAATAAATTCTATCTGAGGGCTGGAGTTATAATATTACAAGTTAAGCTGCAGCCTCCAGGGCCAACATCACATATCAGGGCCCTGAGTTTGTACCAAGCTATTCTGTTTCCAGTTTCTTGCCAATGTGCCCAGAAAGAAAAGGAAGATGGCCTTTGGACCTTTGTCACCCAAATGGGAGACCAAGATGGAATTCCAGGGTCCTAAGTATAACCTGGATCAACCTTAAGATTTTATAGCTATTTATAACGGGTGAACCAGCAGATGGAAAATACCTTTTCTTTTTCTGCCTTCTCACTCTCAAACAAATCCTAAAACAAATTATCTAAAAATAATTTTTAAACATAAATTTGTGTATGAGTTAAGTTTCAGAAAAACAGAAACTTTAATAGTAGTTGGTTACCTTTGTAGAATTGCAACTGATGGTCAGGGGACTTTTTAACTTCTATTTAGTAACTGACTGCTTTTAAAAAAAACAGAATATGGGTTGGGCATGGCAGCCTAATGACTAAATCCTCGCCTTGCATGCACTAGGATCCCATGTGGCTTCTGGTTCATGTCTCACTGCTCCACTTCCCTTCCTGCTCCTGCCTGTGGCCTGGGAAACTGATAGAGAACAGCCCAAAGCCTTGGGATCCTGCACCTGCATGGGAGACTCAAAAGAAGCACTGCACTCCTGACTTTGGATCAGCTCAGCTCCGGCCGTTGCGGTTACTTGGGCAGTGAACCAGTGGATGTAAGATCTTTCTCTAACTCTCCTTCTCTCCATAAACCTGACATTCCAATCAAAATAATAACTCTTTTTAAAAAACACAATAATACATATTACTTTTATATGAAGATAAAACAAATTTTAGGAGTAACAAATAAGCATTTCTAGCCAACGCATAAGAGTTGAAAGGAGGCAGAGATTTCAAAACATTTAACTGAAAAAGGACGAAGACTGACTTTGTAAACTCCTAGCATGAGAACGCCTCAAAATGTGGGGTTTTGGGGTGATTAGGCACGTGGCTTTGAAGCCAGGGATTGAAAAAAAAATCTCAGAAGTTTTTTCCTTGTGGCTATTGCATACTGACAACACAGATGTATTCCTTCAAGCAAAGGAAGGACCTCTGAAAAAGGATGCACTGACATGCTTGTCACCCTTAAACTTCAAAGATTAAGCAGAGCAAATGGCGGTATTTCTGATAAAAAGTACTAAAACTTTAAAGTGAGAAATTACCTTTCTTATGAGGTGGTTTTCTGTATCTGCCACATATATGATGTTATTCGATATGGCTACACCTTGTGGAGAATTAAAAGTTGCCTCTGAAAATATCCCATCCTTTCTCCCAGGGTTGGGTCCTAAAAGACAAGTCAGTTACAAGCCAAACTTTTTCCAGCCTAAAAGTCATCTTAACAAAACAAAAACTGTAATGTAGTGCTGGGATTTTAATGAAACATTATATTTAAACAACCTAAAATGCTTTCAAATGACAGAATTCTCTCAAGAATAAGTTTCACTGTTAATAGGCCTTAAAAGTATAATAGTTACTAATATATTTAAAAATAGTGTCATGTATCTGAAGAAAGGATAAAACGTTACTAATGTATTTAAATATTGTATCATGTATCTGAAGAAATGATAAAAGCATCTTAATTGCCTAGTCTAGAAAGAGTTAAAAATAGGGGGTGCCATTGTGGCATAGTGGGTTAAGTTGTTGCCTGGGGCACAAGAATCCATATGGTACCAGTCTGTGTTCCAGCTGTTGAATTTTTGATCCAGTTCCTCGTTAAAGCGTCTAGGAAAGCAAAAGGGAACGGCCCAAGCGCTTGGGCTCACGCACCGACACGGGATACCCAGAAGCAGCTCTTGGCTCCTGACTTCAGCTGGGCCCTGCCCTGGTCATTGTAACCGTCTGAGGAGTGAACCAACAGATGGAAAAGCTCTGCTTGCTCTCTGTGTAACTCTGCCTTTCAAATAAAGACAGAGTTTTCAAAAGAGTTTTAAAAAGTCACTGATTTCCCAACAATTTTGGATGATAACACTTCTTCAACAATGCAATGGAAATGTTGATCCCTTTCCTAGGAAAACACACATGCCTGCAAACACAAGCAGACTCAGATCGTGCTGGCCATTCAAGTGTTCCCTGAATCCCTAAGCTCCAGCTTAAAGATTCTCTTTGACCACAGACGCCATATCCCATGCTGCTTATACATGCTGAGAGAAACAGCTAGTCATTCCTAGGGATCAGGGAACAAGCCCCTCAAAGTCTTGAAGTCAACAGCTGCTAGCTGCTTTGCAGAACTCTGCTGTCTTAGAACAGCCGGCAAACGCAGACAGTATGATACAGAGCCAACAGCACAACAGTCTTGCTGTAAAGCCCAGCTCCACCTCTCTCCAGCTGATCATTTGGGAATGTTCTTTGTGTCCTAGTTTTCCTTTTGTAAAACAGAACATAAAATATTATCTAACTGTAGCACTGAGAACAAAAATAAGTAATTACAGGCAAAATGCTTAAAATGAGCCAGGCATATATGATTGTTAATATTACTAATGACAACAATAATAATATGGGACCAGCACTATGGAACAGCTGGTAAAACAGCTGCCTGCAACACTGGCTCTCCATGAGGGCACCTGTTCCAAGACCTGGCTGCTCCACTTTCGATCCCGCTCCCAGCTAATGTGCCAGGCAAAGCAGCAGGACACGGCCAAGTACTTGGACCCCTGCCCCCACACGGAAGAACAACCGGCAGAAGCTCTAAGTTCGTGGCTTCAGCCTGCACAATGCCGGGTACTGAGACCTTTTGGAGAGTAAACCAGCAGAAAAAAAGATCTAGGTCCTGTGACCCCACTGTCAACCAAAACCATGGCTCAAGCCACAATCAGTGCTTCCTCAGAACGTTTGGCCGAAGAATTCTTTCTTGAAAATTCAAGCAGAAGCTATTAATACATCATGTGACAATATTCCTAGAAATACATTTGGGAAATGCAGCTTGTTGCTAGTTTCTTAATAAAGGAGAAAATTTATATTATTTTGAAAATTATTTAATCTATTAAGTCTTTTAAATACTTCATTTCAAGCTGCTATATACTTTGAATAACAATTGTAATAGCTACATATTATAAATCAAAATACCAAACAGCCAAAATAAACACCAGAAGACATACATATACCCTTAAAAAAAGAAAAACAACCCGCAACATGAGACATAATAATTCAAGAGCTAAGGAAAATCGCTTGGCATACCAGAAACAGCATCATGGCATAGGAATACAATTAGCTTATTTACAATGGAAATCCAAACACCCCTACATTAGTACTAATGCTGGCATGTTAGGACTGACTGCAGGCATAACTTACTTTTCTCTTTCACTGATATTTTTTAAAATATCAGGCCACTCTGGATAAGCAGGATTAGTAAGAAAGCACTTTACAGACTTCACTGGTAATATAAGTAAAGTAAGAGGCATTTTTACATCAAAGATCAGAAAAATAACAGAGTAGAATGACCTCTCCTGGGGCTGGCACCGTGGTACAGGAGGCTAAGATTCTACCAGCAGTACAGGATTCTCACACCGGCAACAGTTCAAGTCCTGACTGCTCCAATTCTAATCCAGCTCCCTGTTAATGTGCCAGAGAAAGTCATGGTAGATGGCCCAATGTGGGAGACCCAGAAGCTGTTCCTGGCTTCTAGAAGGCATTGGGGCAGCCCAGCTCCAGCTGTTGTAGCCACTGACCATGTTGAATAGCCAGTTTTTATTTAAAATTTTCAATTTTATAATATGACTATTTACTGAGTTACTTTTTTAAAACTATGTAAAACATATTATATAGCATGATTAGAAGTAAACTTTACCTCCGATGCTGTACTGAATCTGTCCATTCTTCAAAACGACCAAGATTCTATGATGGCCCGTGTCTGCTATTACCAGTTGGTTAGTAACTTGGTCTACGGTTACTTTGCCAGGAAAAAGCAATGGTGAAGATGGCAAGGAATCTTTATAGAGTTTTATTCCAATTTTATGATCTCTGATTTGACCTCTCTCTTTGTAATACTTTAAAGCTATTGAAATATATAAAAATAATTTATCTTTGTGTCCTTCTCCAATTAAAGAAAACAACATGTTTCCACGGGGTCCAAGGATGACTAGCGTTGGCCAGCAGGAAACTTCTAATTCTTGCCAAAGGCTGGCGTCTGCATCGTTAACCACTGGGTGGTTGATATTGTAGCGCAGAACAGCACTCTTAATGTTATCCAGGACTTTTTCATTTGGAAACTTAGCCGAGTGAACTCCAACTATCAGAAGACCATCTGAAAGGGAAAAACTGGTTACACTCCATCTTATGAAACTTCAAAATGTGAATAGCATCATCATTCATTGGGTTTTCAGTCATTAACAAACATAAACAGTCTATAGAATATTTTAAAAACAAAGTAGCTCAAGAGTAGGCATTTGGCCTGGCGATGATCAGTTATGTCCCTGTTCCACACTGCAGGAATGCTTGCGGCTAACTGCTAGCTCTGGCTCAAGGAACGGGCTCCCTGCCTCTCACACGGGAGAACTGGATGCAGTTCTCAGCTCGTAGCCCGAGTCCCTGTCCAGCCCAGGGCATTGTAGGCATCTGGAGAGTAAGCAAGGAGAACAGGGTCTCTCTGCCCCCTCAAGGTTAAAGAAAAAAAGGGGGGCAGAGGATGACACTGTAACTCAATTGGCTAATCCTCCCCTTTGTAAGCACTGGAACCCCTGGGATCCCATAAGGGCACCGGTTCATGTCCAGGCTATTCCACTTCCCATCCAGCCCCCTGCTTGTGGCCTGGGAAAGCAGCAGAGGATGGCCCAAAGCCTTGGGACCCTGTACCCACGTGGGAGACTCTGAAAGAAGCTCCTGGCTTCAGATCAGCTCAGTTCCAGCCATTGTGGCTATTGGGGAGTGAACCAGTGGATGGAAGATCTTTCTCTCTGATTCTCCTCTCAACAAATCTGCCTTTCCAATAAATAAAAATAAACTTCTTTAAAAAAAAAAAAAAAAGGAAGCGTAGAACTAAGTATCTTTAACTGCATGAAACACATGTATAAACAATAAATTTAAATCTTATGGCAATCTTGATCACCACATACAACCATATTCAAATTTATGTTTTTTCTGCAGTATAAAACTCATTGTGACATTTATTTAGGTAAGGGATGGGGAAACTTTTATTTTTGCCAAGAATCACTTGAATATTTATAACATCATTTGTTGGCCACACAAAATCATCAACTTAAAACATTAGCCTGCTGTAGATTTATTGACTTTTGAGCCCCACCTTCAGTTGCCTTGGCAGGGCCACACCAAGTAAATTCATGGGCCTTATATAGCTCTTGGACCAGACATTCCCCATCCAATTTTAACTAAGCTATCAAAAAAGAAAGTGTTTATTTTTTTAAGTTGAAACAATTCCCACCTCTAATAAGTCTCCAAAATTCAAAGTGACTATGAGGAACCTGACATATTTGTCACATTTTTCTGATCTAACCTTACACTACAGATTTAATGAATGTAAGTAAGATATTTCCATAATATAAGGATTTGTATTTGTTTAAAATTCTTATTATACAGTTATTAGAATAAAGCTGCTTATAAACACTACAACTGCTAAAAATAGGAACAACATATTTATTTATTTATTTATTTATTTTTCAAGAGATCAGTACAGAGATAAAAATACAAGAAGTATCAGGCTGGGTTCAAAGAATTCAACATTGACAACTAAGTTACCAGAGGTAATAATAACTAAATAAATATGAATCTCCCAACGTTTCTGTAAAACAAAACAAAACAAGACAAAAACCACTCAAACCAGCATAAAAATATAACCATACAAAACAGAAACCATAATTCCACAGCAGCCCATCATTCTATCACAGTGAGTAGCTCTAAAGCAAAGCGGATGCACAAGCACACATACACAGAGACCTAGGTGTGAGGCCTGAGAAAGTAAACATAATCAGGTAGATTAGAGGAGGAAGATTAGAAAACAGAAGAGCAAGCCACGATAAGGGAGATCCCAGTTCAGTCCCGTCCCTTCTTGTAGCTTTGCTCTAAGAGTAGACCCCAGTTTTAGAGCCATTTTAAGCGGTTGAAGCACCGACAGAAATCCCATCAGTGAGAACGAGGGAAGTGGCAGAAACCAAGGGAGGGGAACGGATCTGGAGAAAGCAATTCGCCATTCTGCGCAGAAACACCTAAATGACACACATGCGCAACAGACCCAAAGAAGTATGATAAGAATTCAGGATGAACCACTGAGCTGACAGGAGAGCGGATGGAGAATGAGACAGGACTTCTAATTCGAACTTAGAGGACTGAATGTGTGCTAAAACACATCCATTTCCTCTCTCAGGTAGCTGGAATAGAATCCATAGTATTTCCATTGTAACTTCCAACAGCTAGGATACAGCCCAAAATTACGTGACACTCAAAAGACACTGTACTGGGCTCATCATGGTGACTCAATTGGCTAATCCTCCCCTTGCAAGCACCAGGATTTCATATGGATGCCAGTGCATGTCCAGGTTGCTCTAGTTCCATTCCAGCTCCCTACTTATGGCTTGGGAAAACAGTGGAGGTTGGCCCAAAGCCTTGGTACCCTGTACCCACATGGGAAACCCAGAAGAAGCTCCTGGCTACGGATCAGCTTAGTTCTGGCCATTGCAGCTATTTGGAAAGTGAACCAGCAGCAGGAAAATCTGTGTCTCTCCTTCTCTCTGTAAATCTGCCTTTCCAGTAAAAAAACAAATTTTTTCCAAAAAAAAACGCATTGTAATGTGGCCTATTATAAAAAATATTTTAAGCACCAATGCTGAAACAAAGATGACATGTGAATTAGTAGACAATGGCTTTAAAGCAGCTATAGTAACTACAATTCATAAGGTTAAGAAAACTATTTAAGAGAAGAATGAAAACATAGGAAACATAAAAAAAAATGGAAACCACAGGAAAAAATCAAAAGTTCAGAACTGAGATATCTGCATATCATATTTATCATAAATTTACTGAATGAGGTTAATCATAAAAGAATCAATGAACTTAGAGTGTAATAATGATCAACATAAAGAACACAAAGCGAGGACAGCAGGAGACGGTGTAAGTACTTGCACTCTGTCCTTGTGGGGAGACCAGGATGGAATCCCTGGCTTCTGGCTTAGGCCTGACCCAGACCGGGTGGTTGTGGCTCTGTGAGGGAGAACCAGCAGATGGAAATCTCTGCCTCTCCCTACCCCTTCCTCCTTTCAAATTAATAAACCTTCAAAACACAAGCCAAATGAAAACCAGAACACCAAGGTGGAGGGCCTCCTCACTCAGCTTTTTCAACTTGTGGGTCAACTATTAAGTTGCACCTTCTATCGCATCATAACCTTTGGATGCCATCAGCTCAGGCTTGCAGGTGCTGGTGCGCCTGTGCTATCCCTTACGGTGTTGACGTAGTTGGTCCCTCAAAGTTCCCCGGGTTGGAGGTGTAGCTCATACTAGGCAGAGCTGCTCTGAGACCATGAACACTAATGGTGCAGGTGCATTCAAGACATGTTAGGCAGTAACGGGAAGACAACCAGCTGCAAGAAAGCAAGATGATTCCAGTGACAGTTGAAAGAATGCTCCCGTGACAAGCTAGGTGTGTCTGCTTCTGTCAACACATATTGAACTTACCTTCTGAGTAATATAAAAATCTTCTGGTTTTAACCTGCCAGGATTTTCATATAGTAGCATATTACTGAGATATTTGGAGTTCATGCTGCAGGCTTTCCACTTTCAAGGGGCACATTCACTGTGGAATGTGTTTAATTTCAGTAAAAGTCAGCTCTCAGCACAGTGGCCACCCAGCTCCAGCTCCCTGGCAGGCTGAACTGCTGATTACTTTTCAAGCACCAGCCCCCCCACTGTCTACTTCACTGAGGAATCTTTTCCAGTGTTTCTAGGCCCGTGGATTTACTTATTGCCACAGATCCCATCATGTTTTTTCAGTTCACTTTGCTATGTATATGTAGTTCCTCAGCTGCCAGCACCCTGTACATAACTCATGCTCAGTAATAGCACAGTTTGAACAGGAAGCACAGGCACCCAAAACCAAGGAGATAACAGGATACCATACAATAATTAAATAAGCCATAAGTTAATTTTTAAAAACAGGATTTGGCTACTGAGAATATTCAATTTCTCGACAGATCTCTGGATTTGCAATTTTAACATAAAATCTACTATAATTTAATTTTTATTTAAAAAGTAGAAAGTGAGTGATCTTCTGTTTGCCGGTTTATTCCCCAAATGTCTATCACAGCCAGGACTGGGCCAGACGGCCACCAGCAGCCTGGAACTCTGGAACTCCTACGTGTGTGGCACAAACCTAGCTCCTCGACCTCTCACAGCTGCACCCAAGGAGTACACTAGCAGGTAGCTGGGACTGGAAGAGGGGCTGGCACCTGAACCCACACTCCAGCGGGACATGATGTGAGCATCCTGCCGTTGCACCAAGACACAACCTATTATCATTCACAAGCAGTTCAAGTTGCACTTGCACTACAGATCTCACATCACTCCTTCTTAAAAACCAACGTTCAGGATATACTTCATTCTTCACATACATATAAGGGCTCTCCAAAAAGCAGATGGAAAATCTATATATTTTTTTATTCACATTTCCCATGGACTTTCCGAAGTACATGTGCATAGTCTGTTATTACCATCTCTGTTTCTCACTAGATCAGTGATGTTATCTTTCTGTATTCACTCCAAATACGGGGCTCCAATTCACTGAAATTTAATTAATATTTAATTTAATTTACTCCCTTGCTACTATCATAAAAAAGTAAACAAGAAAAAAGATCTAAACACTAAGTGCAATCTCTAATATTTTCAGATTTTGTACTACCACAAAATAAGGACTGTTGACACACCATGGAAAATATCAGCTATAAATCATTTTTAAATGATGAAGGGTCAAATAAAAAGTTGCTATAATATTTTGCATTTGACATTAACAAGAGTTCAATTTCCTAATAAGAACTTTAAACCTTTATATCAAGGGAGAAGAGTACAAAATTAGGATGTGTTTGATCTTCTTCCTCATAAAACACATTTAGATACATTTAAAAACATGACAATATCTTTTAAAATACCTATTCACGTAAAAAGGAATCATATCCTATCCTCAGAGAAAGCCATATCCAAGATGCTGGTTCTCTGGGGAGCAGACTGAGGCTGAAAAAAAAGACACACGGAGTCCCTTGGCGCGCCAGCCAGACTCCTCGCAGCGCGGCTGAAGCCCTGCCAAGCTGCACTGGGCCACAAGCAGCCGAGGCTGCTGCTCTAGCGGGGCCTGCGCCAGGAGAGCCCAAAGTCAGTGAAGGGCACGTACCTTCATCGGAGAAGGCGTGTTCCAATGCGTGGAGATCAGGCAACACATGAATACAGTTGATGCAGCAGTAGGTAAAGAAATCGAGCACAACCACTTTTCCACACAGATCCTTGTAAACAGAAAGAGGCTCTTCTGTGTTCAGCCACTCTAATCCTGCAAGTTACACAAAATAAACTGCAATAATTAAAAGAAAAAAAAAAAGGAACAATTCACTGAAAACTTCCCCATTAAAATGTGAACATGTGGGGCTAGTGTTACGGCTCAACAGGCTAATCCTCCACCTTTAAGCACTGGCATCCCATATGGAAACTAGTTCTAGTCTCAGCTGTTCCTCTTCTGAACCAGCTCCCTGGGAAAATAGTGGAGGAAGACCCAGGTCCTTGGGACCCTAAATGTACATGAAATAGGGATCAGCTCAGCTCTGGCCATTGCAGCCATCCACCCATTATTTCTGTAAGCCTAACTTTCCAATAATAAGTTTTTTTTTTTTAACGTGAATTTTTGGTTTTTGTAAGACTAGCGTATACAGTCAAGAGCGTATGGAGACTCTTGACAGATTGTGATGAATTATGTTATCAAAGGGCACATTTTTCAAGCAATAAATAGAAGACATGATACCTCTTCACAGACTGCAATAAAACAGATCTTTGTGATCGTCAGAAAGGCAAGGCTACAGAGATGCAAGGGCCAATGGAAGCAAAGAGGGGCCGGGCACACAGGCAGGAAGAGCGAGAGGGCAGAGGACGGGAAGCTGGTGTTAGGAGATAGTCTGCAAATACAGCGAGAGAAGGCTGCTGAGTTCTTTCAGAAATGGTGTCATACTGGATGTGTGAAAAGATATTTAAAAAGAGAGGCAAAAACCAAGAAGACATTTCAAATATTCAGAGAACCTACTTGTACACAGAGTTAGGCATCAAGAATGAAAAATCAAACTTAAAAAAACAATAAGACAACTGCAAAAGGAAAGAAACATATGCATGGGCCAGCATACACGATGTCTAAGCCAGCTTGTAAAAGGCACATGTCCTGAATTCAGATGAGATGCTCTATGCAAGATATTTGAAATGCAAAATTCAGAAGACGGTTACTGGTGTAGAGTTCATGAAAGCAACAATACCGAAGAACATGTTCCCTCTTTCCAAAGAAAACAGAATCTCATTAATCTGTACTCCCACAATTACAATTACCTAAGTATCACAATTTTAACTCCACTTACACAGATTTTTTATTTAACTAATATTAAATATATAAAATCTTTATTTAACCAGTTTTCGAAAAACATATTAAATTTATTACCACTGCTTGTGAGTAAGTGCAAGTTCTAAAATTAATTATGCCCTAAGACGGCTATTTGGAAGTAATCTGTAGCAACCGAAAGCCAAAACCAGGTGGATGGAGTATACACAGTAGTTCTCCACTCACAGGGGACAAACTCCAAGATCTCTACTGATGCTACAACCACCCACAGTACCAAACCCCGCCACTTACATTTAGCTAAGCACATTTCCGGTACTGTGGCTGTAAATTTCTGCAGTTTAGAGTACAACAGCAAAACTAGCACGAGTTTCTTGCTCTTCACCATTCAAGGACACGAGAGCCAGGAGGTGACTTCTCCCCTTAGGTGAGAACTTTGACCGTTTGGCTTGCAGCAGCACGGTACAGATTCTCTCAGCATGTCTGAACTGTTAGCAACATGACCCCGGTGCTTCACTTGCATACAAGCACTGGGGCATCTAGAAAGTTGATCCGATACTGTAACAGCTCTTAGAGAACCTGTTGAAAGCAGTGGGTCACATCCTGGGCACCCGTGCAGCAGAAAGGCACCAGAAAGGCATGGCTTTTCTTGAACCACACAGACCCAAGCACAATCTAAAACATACAGATGGCCTGTTTCTGCAACGGACAACACAGGAACAACTAATGCCTCATAATAATAACTACAGCTCCTCAGCTGGGACAAAACTCTATAAACAACTATTCTACCACACAGTACAAACTAGCGAGGAATCAAGCTGCATTCATCTCGGACTTCTCCCTTCTTGACAAAGTTAACCACATACCAACCAAGGCATGATACGGAACGCAGCCCTAAGCAGCACACACTCAGATTTCACACCTTACTTGAAAAATGTATTTGTGAACTTGTCTCCTCTGACTTCTCTATAAAGGTCAAGGTGATTTAGATCTGGAGGAGCAAATGACATTTCAGCTCCTGTGCTGGCTGCTTACCAGACTTAATGGTACAGTGTATTTTAAAACAACACTACTGAATACAATAAACTACCAACACTTTGTATGCTTGCTTCTGAATTAACCGCTTTTAACATTGCCTTCACATAGTAACATCGAAAGATAACTGCATTTCTACAAGTGAGAAAGTAAGGCTTGAGCTAATGAAGTCATACACATTAACAAACGGATAAACTCAATCCCAGTCTGCCAGCCTACCAGAATGAAAATCATTAAGCTGCTCTGCCTGCAGTACACATACGTCTTCTAAAAAGAAAAAAGGAAAAAAGACAACACAGTTTAGAGGACAGTTATTGTATATGACTTTGCAATTGCAAGGCACTGACTTTGTTTGAAATGCAGAGCCAAAGAGAGACCCTCCATGCCCTGATTCACTCCCCCAATGGCCACAGCTGAATCAGGAGCTTCTTCTGGGTCTCCCACGTGGCTGCAGGGGGCCAAGGACTTGGGCCAGCCTCTATTGCTTTCCCAGGCCGTATGAGGGAGCTGGATGGGAAGTGTAACTGTCAGGACCCAAACCAGTGCCCAAAGGGGATGTTGGCATTGTAGTTGGAGGCTTAGCCTAGTTCGCCACCATACTGGTCTTACACTCACTTCTAAAACTTCTGACCTTAATAATCAGGTCCAGCACAAAATCTGACTATGCCAATACCAAGCCTGATAATGAGTATTGCTTATGAGTCACAGAAGTCATGTCGCATGGTAATGAAAATACACTCACCGTAAATGTGAAATGATTAGAAAACAATCATCCCGCATCCTAGCCAGAGGTCTGCTGACCAATGGCCCTGTAACTGACAACCTACTTACCAAGTCTTTTTATTATTTCATTTTGATATTATCAAGCCTTTAAAAGTGCATGCATTCTGCATTGGCTGGAGCAGTAATGGGCTGAACCTGACCCTGCATGGCTGGTGTACATGTCACACGTGAGGTCACCCGAGGCAAGGTTCCTTGGGGGAACTTCACTGCTGGACCGCTGGACTCAGACCCTGACCGTAGCGAAAATCACAAGATACACCGTTCAGCCTTAGAATGCATGTATCAGGACTGGGCCTCCTCAGTTACTGATGTCTGTGCAGTGGACAGCATGTCCAGAGGCATGCAGGGCTAGGACAGCTGGCTCATCTAGGTAAGCAGGACAGTTTGGACAACTCCTCTGGCCAAGCTTTGCAGCATGCCTCTGGGCCTGTGGGCGGACTCAGTGGATTCCGTTAGCCACTAGACCTTGGAAAGACGGAGCAACGAAGCCGACAACTTCTCAGAACTAACAAAACCACTCAAGTAACACCCTCAGAACCCTCCTCCCCACAGTGTGGTCTCTAAGACTTCATCAAACAAGCGGATCCCCAGGTGTTGACGTGGGTTGACCATAAGCAGCGGCCTCTCCTTCCCTTTTCCTCTTTCAGACACAGAAAAAAAAAATTTTTTTGGAAACATGTCCCACCCACCTTCCACCATACCAACCCTCCAATCCTAATTAGAGACCACCATGGGCATTGCTCTCACCTATATAACCAATACAAATAAATAAATAAATAAATAAAAGCATGAACATATTTTAGTTTCTTTGATGGGTTAAGTATGATGCACTGAATTCTGCTACAATTCCACAAAAGTTCTAATCTAAAGTAAGACAAACGAAAGAAAAGCACTTGTTAAGGTTGGTGCAAAAAGCTTGGACAAAGACCCACGGGGGACTCTGCTGTCAGAGCAGCTTCTGTAATACCTTCCACGAGATCAGTGAACCCGGCCACGGCCAACCCATTAACTATACATGTGGTGTCAGTGTCGCGCCGGGACACCAGCCAGCACCCCCAGGGAAAACAATGACCATGCCCGACCAGCGCCCCGCTCTTGGGGGGCTGTTACACCCTCCTGCGCCAAACGCTCACACAGCAGGGGTGCGAATCTAGGAGACAGGCTATCATTGATTCCGGCTTTTCAAATGCATCATCACTTTGTCACGACTTGGAAGGCAGAGCGCCGGAACTGAACTCGGGTAGTGACTTATGGGGCGGTCCCGGACAAGGCATTTCACCAACGCCACTTCCTCAACTGCAAAAAACAAGTCTTAGCCAAAGCACCCCAGCTAGGAAGCTGCCGGGGACCCTCAGGTAGAGCAGGCGAGCCGGGGTTCAGGTGGGCGCCACCCCGCCGAGGTCCCGGGAGGGTCCCCCCCCCCCGCGCACCCCGAAAGCAGCCCTCTCACCTTCCGGGAACTCGGGCACTGACAGGTCCTGCTCCCAGCCGTCCACCTTCTGCAGATACTGGTAGACCAGGCTGTCCTTCTCCTGCTGCGTGACGGCGTCCAGCAGGGCGTACTCGAGCGACGTCTGCGCGGGGAGCAGGCCGGCCAGGCTGCAGCCCCGGGCCGCGGGCGCCGCCATGTTCTCTCCCTGAGGCGGCCGCGGGAGACACAAGAAGCGAGTACAGGCCTTTGGTTTCCAGACGGCACATTCGCCTCTCCCGCCTCCTGACTCACTCCAGGCCACAGACCCCCCCCCCCCCTTTTTTTTTTTTAGGCATGCGCTCAAACGCCAAAGTCCAAGTAACCGCCAGTCCTGGGCACGTAATTAAAACCCATTCTGGGGCCTCTCGCCGCCGCGGAGCATGGACATTCGCGGTGGCAGATTCGACATGGAAAAGGCGTCAGGGACCGCGTTCTAGACGCTCGAAGGGAACGTTTCCGGTCCCGCACTTTGGAAACTAACACAAGTTAGAACTATAAAAAAAGTTAAAGTAAGTCCGTGGAATTTCAGTGGCACACTGTTTAGAAACTTTTTACAGCACCCCTCCCCCCATGCCGCCATTCAAGAAGTCCGTCAGCCGATTCGACACAGCACTAGCAGCTGTCAGCTTTTCCCGCCAAGAAGAGAAACGGAACCAGAGGTAGGAATATCCTCCAGGGAGAAGGGGATGCCCGGCTAGTACTTTGGCTTGTACATAAGGAACTTTTGGTCACCCCGGCAGTGCGGAAAGTGCGGGCGCGAATGACTTGTCAGCCGAGCGGGGAAGGGTTCCCTGAGGGGAGCGGACGCAGCTGGGGCTGCTCCTCGGGGCGCCGTGGCAGGTGGGCGGCGGTGAGGGGACTTGGGGGGCGTGCCCCCGAGTCGTCAGAAAGCGGCAGTGCCTAACCTGGAGAGGAGTCGGGCCCCACTCCCCGACTTGGTGCCAAGCCTCCACGTCCCAAGGAGAAAGCCCAGCCAGGAGTTGGGGGTGGGGTGCGGTGTGGTGGGCAGGTGGCAAGTCCCCCGGGATTTTCAAAGCGGGCCGCCGTGGAGAGGGGCTACCCCTGCGGTCTGGGGAACGGAGTGTGACCTGAGCTGTGTTCGTTCCGCAGGATCTGTGCATTGCTGCTGGAGGAAGACGCTGCCTCGGCCATTGATTAGGCGGCCGTTTGTTTCTGATGAATCACACACCCCTTTGACCACGATGTGATTGGTTTTACTGGTGATCATTTAGTGTTGGGAACCCTTACGAAGCCGGTTGTCCCGGCACCATGATTAGATCTGCGACTTCCTTGGACGGTTGTCTACTTGAAACAGAACTGGCATTTCTTTCTACCAGTTCCCCACATCTGCATCCAAGGTTCAACTGTTGAACCTACACTGCGAGTGCGTAGTTGCTCAGGCGGTAGTGGTTCTTTGGAATGAACTGAAAAAGGCCTGGATACCTGGATGATGTTGCATAGCAGCCACAGCGGCACGTGACACAGATGCCACCTCTGTGACTGGTTCTTAGTTTTATTGTGGCATAAGGGGCTTCCCCTTCCCAGAGCTTTAGATCCCCATGGAGTTAGTGGATACTTTGTTATCTTTGCTTCCCAGCAAAATAACTCCACTTAAAAACTTTGTAACAAGGAATAAACTGTTGATTGAAGATTAGGGCTTCTTCAATGATAAAAAAAAAAAAACAAAAAACTTGTGCCATGTTGGAAGACACTTCTTCCGAAGAAGACATCTGGGAATACAAATCTAAAAGAAAACCAAAACTGGCACATCCGAATCACTGCTCTGAAAATAGTCTAAAATCCACTGAACAAGCAACAGATGGAAAAGATCAGGCAAAACAAAACAGAAACACAAAGGGAGCCAGGGGGGCTCCAGGGAAGAAGAGGGGCAGTGCCCGGAACCCTGGGGTTGAGACCTGTGCCACCTGCAGTCAGGAAGCCCGGGGCGGCGGGGATGGAGATGGCATGCCGCAATCCCAGGACAAGCAGAGCACACCACGAAAGCGCTGTCGGACTCCCCAGAGCAAACAGATGTCCCCAAAGATACGCCCAGTTTACAGTGGGTACTGTCCAAGCTGCCAGATGCCCTTTTCCTCGCTGCTAGGCCAGACACCTCGGTGGCATGTCTTTGAATGTTTGGATTCTCCTCCCGCCTCTGAAACAGGTAACCAATCTTACAGAAAAGGTGGTGATCTCTCTATAGGCCCAAAGGCCTGTGTTTGCCCAGACCTGTCACCGCACTGAACTGAAAAGAGCAAGCAATAAACAAGCCAAAAGAGAGAAGACATAGAGATCTTTCATCACTGGTTCACTCTCCAAATGGCCTTTACAGCCAGAGCTGAGTGAAAGGAGAAGCCAGGGGCTTCTGAGTCTCACATGTGGGTATAAGGGCCCCAGGCCTTGAGCCATCCTCCCTCCGCTGTTTTCTTAAGCCATAAGCAGGGAGCTGAATTGGCAGTGGAGTGGCCAGCACATGAACTGGTACCCAAATGGGATCTCAGTGCTGCAGGCTGAGGCTTAGCCTACTATGCCTGATCACAGACCCCAGTGTTGGATTTTTTGTTTTCCTTACTTGACTGTAACAATGACTCTTTGTAAGGTAGGCGATATTTTCGCTCTGTAGGTGAAGGTTCTTAAAAGTTAAATAACTTGGGCCCAGCGCGGTGGTGCAAGTGGTTAAAGTCCTCGCCTTGCACGCCCGGGATCCCATATGGGCGCCGGTTCTATCCCGGCAGCCCCGCTTCCCTTCCAGCTCCCTGCCTGTGGCCCGGGAAAGCACTCGAGGACGGCCCAAAGCCTTGGGACCCTGCACCCGCGTGGGAGACCTGGAAGAGGCTCCTGGCTTCAGATCGGCATAGTATCGGCCATTGCGCTCACTTGGGGAGTGAATCATTGGACGAAAGATCTTCCTCTCTGTCTCTCCTCTCTGTATATCTGCCTTTCCAATAAAAAAATAATAAAAATAAATCTTTAAAAAAAGTTAAATAACGCCTAATTTCTGACCTTTTATGGAACTATATAGAAAGCTAAAATTTGGTTTCTATGTGTGATTTTGTTGTCATCATGCTAATGTACAGGAAAAGGAACTGGATGGGAATCTTAGGTGATTAATGTTCTAATGAGAATACACCAGTATGCTTTCATTATGTTTAACATAATGTGTAATAGATGCTGGATTTCACATGTAGAGAATCCCACTTGGAATATGTGGAGAGTGGGTTGTGATTTGTATAGTTTAAACTTACTTCGTTTTTGTGAGAAGAGATTATTTGGAAAATAATTTTTAAATGTACTTGATTTTAAAATAAGTATTCTTGCAAAACCATCTTAGATCAACGTTCGCTAATGTTTTAAAACTTAGTTATTTGAAAGTGAGGCTCATCCCACCCCTAGCTCTCACCTCGCTGCCAAATGCCCACACCAGCCAGAACTGGACAGAAACTGGGCATTCAGTTGGAGACCCACATGCTTGCGTCATCGGCTGCCACCAGATAAGGTTTACATTAACAGGACGTCAGAAATGGGAACAGAACAGGGACCCACACCAGTCCCTCCGTGTGGCAAGCGGGCATCCCAAGCAGCAGGTTGGCAGCTGTGCCAGATGCCCCCAGCAAGTGTTGGTATTTTGTGCTGGTCTTTGCATTGGACAGTTAAAAATCATTATTGTCATGAGCCACCCCTCCCCCCAGTGTAGGACTGATGATTCTTCACCTGTGAGTGAATTTATAGAGCGGATACTGTCCAAGCTTATACTTTGTTCTTCTTTCTGATTTTCAGAGTGTCCTGAGGGTCTCCTGTGTTCCTCAACAATTCCTTCCCACTATAAGAGATACACTCACTTCCTGCTTGCCCAGAGTAGGGCAAGTCGGAGTCCTCCCAGCAGCCCCTCCCACGGGGCAGGTGGTAGTTTCAGGGGGACTAATTCGGGCGTTCTTTGTCGGCTTGAGGAAAGACTGTGTCAGAAACAAAGTGGGAACTTAACAAGTGTTTCAGACGATCCCTTGGTGATGACACAGAGTCTGAAAAAATCTCAGTCTCCAACTGAAACCAAAGGAGAGATCTATTCTGAAGATGATCAGAAGCCCCAACAGGTGCTACAGTTTACGGATGCTGTTAAGACAAACACACTGGTAGGAGATGCCTTGCCTCTTGAGCATGAGATGTTAGACAGCCAGAATGACTCAAAACACTTGAACTTGCCATTGCCAGAAGATGACTGTAGCAACTGTGAGATTTCCTATTCTCCACTTCAGAGTGATGAAGACACTTATGATATGGATGAAAAGCTGGATGACTCACTGCAGGAACTGTTTTTTACTGAAAGCTCTAAAGATGGCAGCCTAGAGGAAGAAGACAGCAGCTCTGCCTCCTTTGGAAAGCTCCGTGGGCCCATCCTGCAGGACCAAGAGGATAGCTTCCTTACAGGAGGCAGCTTCTTAACTCAGGATAGGTACAATGGAGAATTGTACAGGTCCAGTGTTCCAAACAGTTCATCTCAGCTTATCTCCCCGAATAATGAGAGTATTAGCTCGCATGATGGATCAGCAAGTCATGATTCCTGTTCTCAGTTATTTCCACCTGCATTAACAGAAGAACTCGCCGCCTCTAATTATCAAGCCACTAGAAAAACACCCAGGAAGCCAGAATTTCACTCAACAGACAAACAGAAAGAGGTAATTCACAAATCAGCTGTTCACAATCAAGTTTCTCCTGCAACACTTCAGCAGCATAGAGACTCCAAACCTTCCAGAAACGAGGAAGGAGAGAAGCTGCCTTTGGATCCCAGGCCAAGTAGAGCAAGAGAGTTATCAGGTGAGACCCTCGGTGCTGAGAACAACCCTAAGTCAGAGTGTTTGTGCAGGAAGGAATTAGACGGAATGCCAGGCAGTAAAGGCACAGCCTTAACTACAGAAACGGGTCCTAGCACACCTCCTGCTGCCAAGTCTTTTAAAATATCGCCCTCCCCTACTAAGTGTGATGCAAGACAGCTTACGAAGGCAATGAAGCAAATGGATATAGGTGTGTATTTTGGACTACCACCCAAAAAACAAGAAGAGAAATCGCCAAAGAAAAAGGCGTTGAAAGTGGAGGACTTAAATCAAACTCAAAGTCACGGTGGAAGGAGATCCCGACAGTGCAAGAGGAAAGCAGAAAAGTCTTTAAGTGACTTGGAATTTGATACAAAGAATTTAAGTGAGAGTCCACTCCCCGTGGAACTTCCGAAATCACAGCAAAGAAAGAGACGTAGGAAGTCCAGTTCACAGCAGGAAGGAGGCCATCAGAAGGGGGCAGATCACCCTGTTAGTAATACACCATCCCAAAAAGTCAGCTTAAGTAAAGGTGAAGTCTTTGTTAGATCA